GACAAAAAAACCAACAGAAAGAGAAAAGAAGAGAAAGATCCTGAATGATCGACGCAAAGAATTAAATATTGATCATTTGAAAGAGGACAAACTCAGGTAAAAGGACACTGTTACTAAAACACTTTACTTTCTCTTGATTTATTCAAAATATCTGTCATGTACATAAAAATGATCTTTATTCAAGATCTGATCACTATACAGTAAACTGTCATAACATTTTCTCTACAGAGAAAAGGCTAAGGATCTTTGGGACTGGTTGCGCCAACTAGAGGCCGAGAAATTTGAACTTCAGCAAAAATGCACAAAGCAGAAGTACGAGGTAAAATGTCAACAGATTCTTGCTGTTGCAGACAAAGATTTCCTCTGAGTGGACAGATTCAGGCCAAGATGAAAACAAAACATGAAAGTGTGGTGCCTGGGAACACCCATTGCAATGAGTCACAACTGTTTTCTTATATATAATGAGTGGAACTCAGCCAAAGATCCAAAATAGAAGGGATATAGTACTCATCTAACCAAGGTTTTGGTGATTGTGACCCACACCTGTTTTCACAGCTTGGCTCGTGGATTAGGCAGAGGAACAATAGGAGGGTCCACGACCCTCTTTGGGAAACTCCCAATAAGACTTAAAAATCTAAGATTCTCCACCAATTGCTCTTAGAACTGAAGAAGCTTCTCAGATGAGAGGTGAAACGTCTTCAATAAACTTAAAGAAGTCCAGATGTTTTAATGCTTGTCTGTCTTTCTGTGTTAGCCATGCAAGAGATTCCCGGGGTATATCTGCCATCTAGTAGCTGAGACAGGCTTTAGCCCTCGCCCCATGATGCTGATAAGCGTTAGTGAATAGATGGATGGAGATGACTGGGTCAGAGCAAGTGGTCCAAACAAGGAACAGTGGTGAACCAGTAGCATGGATGGCCAAGGCTCATTGATGCACATAGGGAGAGAAGGCTGACCCTTATGTTGAGGTCCAACAGATGTGCTACTGTAACTCAAATTGGATAACAGATGATCTGACACTGACTGAGCGGAAACACACAGACTAAGTACACATAAGGAATGATCAAGGGAAGAGGAATCACATGGGGAAAACAGCTGACAACAATTAACACAATGACAGGACAGGGGACGTGAAACTAAATACAATAAACAAAAAACACAAGGCTCTTTCAAAATAAAACGGGAAACATAACAAGACCCAGACATGACTCAAACTTGACAAACAAAGAAAACTTGGACATGAAACATGACAGATAAACACACGAAGACTTAACCTGACAATCTGACACAGAAAACTTCACACAGGGATGAGACAAATGGGGAGCTTGATAAACCATGAACTAAAACTGTAACCTAGGCATGACAGAATGTAACTAGATAAATGAAAATAACAACAAAAAACATCAAGAACCTCAGAATACTGGGTCACATGACCCAGGACCATGACAGAAAGTGCTAAAAATGGGCACATGAGGATCAGAACTGGACCACGGAGCAATGGAAGAATGTGGCCTGGTCGGATGGATCACGTTTCCTTTTACAACTGGCAGCAAGACACCAGTGATACCTGCTTGGAATCCTTGGGTCCTGCTGGATAAACAAGTACAATCCATGGAGGCCCCGCCTTGCCGCTTACAGGGCTTAAAGGATCTGTTTTTAACATCTTGGTGTCAGATACCATAGCACACCTTCAAGGGTCTAGTAGATACCATGCCTCCATGGTTCAGGGCTGTTTTGCCAGCAAAAGGGGGATCCGCAAAACATCAGCTAGGTGGTCATAATGTTATGTCTGACTGGTTTAAATTTAACCTCCACAGTTACTCTTGAAAAAAAATTGCAGTTTGATTTTCTTTCATGTTTTCCTAGTTGCACAGTTTTTATGAAGATGTGATGATTTTTATATAGTAAAGCAAATGCTAAGAAGTCAACATGTTGGTTTTTCACAGTATAGATATCAATGAACTGTTAAACTACTGTTTTCTCAGGTCACGGTGCTGAGAAATCGTGTCAGTGATCATCAGAAAATGTAAGTCTATTCTGCTGTGGTTTCTGTTGACATTGAGTAGCAAAGGTAATGTACAAAAATTAGGATTTTATTTGCTTTCTAACATATAGCATGGACTAAAGACTGCAAAGCTGGGTAGAAATGTAGAACTACAGCAAAGTAAGAGGAGAAAGTAGTAATGAAACTTATCAATAAAAGGTTTCCACCTCCTCTCATTTCACCTTCTCCCCCCCCCCCTGCTTTCTAACAACAATGGTCTCCATTCTTTTGAAACAGTAGAAGAAGTAACCGTTTGTCTTGGCAACCCCTATAGTAGGGCTAAAATTTCCTGAATATATCCAGTCAAACAGGACTGGGAAAAGTGTATGCTGGCATGTCTGAAGGACACATACACACCCAAATTAAGACCATGCATATTTTTCCAGCTGACGCCATGTAGGCTTTACAATAAATATAGTGAAGGGCTGAATAAAAACTAAAAAGTTCTAATACTGGTTTTCATTCAGAATATGCAAAGCAGGAACACACCTGAGTCAATAAGAGAAAAACTTTATCAGACTGAAATAAATCTGAATTTATAAAAACCTCCATAGGTTATAAAGGTACAGGGGACACGGACTTGTGTAGCAACAACAGATAAACATAGTAGGCAGTTATTGGTTAGCACATCCCATTATACAGCTATTAAAAAGCTTTGAGTCACTCCAGTATCTGAGGGCTGCTTTTGTAGTGTGTTCTCCAACACAAATGAGTAGAGTCATGGTAATTCTATATTCAGATCATATGCACAAAAATACGCACACCGTTTATTTTTTATTCAAAATTTTTAATCACTAAAAACCTTTCACTAAAGTATTTTAACTCACCATATTCTGAAAATAATTCAAATGATAATGAAAACATAACCCTTGTAAGCTACTGAAATGCACCCAGTGTGGCATCAAGTTTGTGGAAGCCACAGGCACAAACATTTGACATGGGTCTGTAAGTATTTTGACCTTTTTTTTTTTTAGTAATTTTGCAATTTTATCTATGTACATTGAGATTTAACAAAATATTGCACTGCATTGCAAAAATGACTTTTTCTACAGTCACCCATTTCTAAAGGCTCAAAAGTAATTTTCTGATAAATGGTTTCATGGCTAGATAAGGCCTCTTCCCTTGTTTTTCTTGACATCTTAAACATATAAAAGAGTTTATTCCTAATGTAAAATTTGCATTTGATATCTATTCACTTTTTATTTAAAATTAGTTCCAAAGACATGTTCATGCAAGTGAGCGAGGCCATTATTAATCTGAGAGACAGCATCAAAACCCTTTGGAATGGCCTCATTAACAATCTGGTTCTTAAAAAGAAGGAATGCACTGGCCAGCTCACCAACACTAAAAAGTCTCAATGACCACACAAGACAACTAAAGAGCATGATGACAGAATTATTTCCATGGTTAAGAGAAAAAATATTTTTCAACATCAGACCCAGTCAAGAAAACTCTCTAAGAGGTTGTAGTATAATTGTCAAGATATACTTTCAAGAGACAGTCATAAATGGCCATAAAAAGGATTTAAGGTGCAAACCACTGATTACAATCAAGAGCAGGAACAGCAGCCACACAATAGGTATGAGTTCCTAGCTTGGCCAGAAAACATCTAAAAGAGTCTGAACAGTTCTGAAAAAAATCTTTAGACAGATAAAACCAGGAGTAACTTTTACCAGTATGATGGAGAGGAAAAGTAAGTAGAAGCTGTGTTCTGAAGTATATCGCATCGTCTATTAAACACAGAGGAGGCAAAGTTATGGCACAAGTGTGTATGCCTGTTACTGGAACTAGGTCACTAGCTGCAATTGATGTTTTAACTGCTGATAAAGGTAGAAGAATGAATCCTGAAGTGCACAGGGCTACACTCTCTATTCAGATTCAGTGAAATGCTGCAAAACTGATCTTAATGCAATTACTGCTTAACAGTGCAAATGGATATTGACTCGAGTTACTTCAGAAAAAGCAACCCAAGATTTTAGCAAGACAAAGAAATGTGATGTAAAAAGTCAGTGACATGAAGTTCAAATGTTAGAAAAGAAACAGGTAAGCCCTAAGACAGAAAATTTACCTAAAATAATTTAAATTTCAAATGCAGCCGCAGTGACTTATTTGCATCAGTAGAATGAAATACATTTCTAAAGATCAATTCAAGGGTCAGCTCACAAGGAATGCAGCCACTCAGCCTTGCATTCAGGTTTTCACAAACAGATATACGACCAGTGGGAGTGAATACAAGGTTCAACAAGCACTACAGATGACCACCAAAAAGCTAGCCTGTGTGCTCGCTGATATGATGATTCTCTGCTGACTTTTATTTATTCTCAGTTCAAAGGGTGGCAGGAGCAAGCGTGGCCTGAGGAAGTAACGTCTGACATCAGCTGGAGAAAAACCAGCAACATCAGCCATCCATAAACGACTGAGAATAAGAAGCTGGATAATAATATTTTCTTAATACTTGAAAATGCAAGAACAATAAAAAAAAGTACGCTCTTTTAGATGTTGTTAGTGGAATAAAGTGCATGTTAAGTTACTGATAGCAGACGGATCAGATGATGTGGTTTAACTTGTGTTCATCTGACCATGTGTAACACATAAAGATTTTTTTTTAAAACTGAATCCAAAAGTTTAGAAAACTAACTGAAAGAAATAAGAGCAACTGAACCTATTCTGGTGTGTAGGATTTTGTGATTGCAAGAAATTTAAATAAACTTGTATCTAACAAAATGGATGTAGCATTTGTATCTGTGGCTCCAGCACTCGTGGGAACTTACAGATGAATACCAACTCTATGATAGTTATAAAAGCCACACCTGCTTTAATGAAGCCAGATTGTCGTTTTTGCCAAACTGGACTTAATAGTTTTATGTGACAGATTCCAGTTAGTTTACTTTTACTTTGCCATCCTGTTTTATTTGTGGCTTTTGACATATGACATCCACATAAGGTTGATGCATTCTCACAGTAATACAAGCTTTTTATTAATGAACACATTCAGACACATAAATCTCCAGTGTACAATGAAGTGATTATTTAAAAAAAGGTCAGCTGTGCCAGAAGTCTAAATCTAAATAACACCCACGGACCCAAAATCCCCTCATGGCTGTTCAGTGGATTATGTGGTTTGAAATGTGGACGACCAAAGTTCAAATCTGGTCAACAGTTATATAATAGAGTGAGCGCAACAACAGCTGCAGTGCCTGGATTAATAAAATAAATCATAGGGGTGGAGTAAACAGAATGTGAGAGATGAGTTGCTAATCTGTCCTGAAGCATTTCAAACTGCAGTCAAAGGGTGTGACAAGACATGAATGAGATTGGAAACTTCTTCATGCTGAACCAGTGACCGTGAAAAAGGACTCAGAATTACTCAAAATTCTTGGATTACCTTTGCAGCCAAAAGAATATATTTATTTCAGCTTTATTACCAGTACTGTGTTCAATACAGCTAGCTAATTTCAAAATGGCAATCATACATATGAAATAGATGGACATCCCAACAGCAAAAGTTGTATTTACAAATAGAGATACACATCAAATGTCCTACAGCAGCCATGCTAACAGAATATCATTTATTTTTATTTGGTTATGTTATGCATTGTCAAAATTTTTTACATGTGCATTACATGCTATGACACACATTTTAGTGCAAGATGAAAGCCGAGGCATTGTGTCACTATATATTTATGCAAGCTCACGGTTCCAAAGTGAAGGCTTGGACACAAACTGTATATAAAAACATGACATGACAGCATTAAAAATGAGAAAAGCAAATAAAAGTGTGCACTTTCTGCATTTTCGCTCTTATTGTACTAGACTTTCACCCATATTCAAACAAGGAAACAGAAATTTACACCATATAAAAGATCATGTAGTGATTTGTTCATGGATGCACTATGTGGAGTTTATGGATGAAATGGGAAATGTTGCAACTCTGCTTCTGTGATTTTATGTCCTGTGGGTGTGTAGACACATTGCAGGTGAGTTACTTCACTGAACAACTTTCAGAGGTCTGATAAGCTGTTAATCAACAACCTGAAGTGACCGCTGTACCGCCATGGTGATGTCATTCACAAATAAGGACTTGCTCATCCCTTGCTGCAGGATAAATAGTTAAACATAAATGAGTGTTCTGCATCGGTCAATACACTCGTCTAACAGTACGTGGTGCATTCAACTCAAACATTTACCTCATTTGCTTTAATGGCAAAGGTAAAAAATGATTTATCTTGACAACAAACATGTGCAAACAAAGTCCCCCAAGTGATTTATAAAACCTGAGCTGCGGGATTCCTCAGCTACATCACTCATGTCTCAGTCGTTTTTAAGCTGGCATTTTAATCCTTCAATCTTTCTACATGTGATTCTCACAAATACCTGAGGGAGGTGTGGAGTCTAAGGTAAGATAATCGGAGGACACACCCAAACATGACAGATCTTAGCACTCACCCGTTTCAGGAAGCTTTGTAAATCTTTGTCTGACCAAAGTTTGCAGAGAAACAGGGCTGACGCTTTGCTGGATTTAGGGAAGTATCTATGAGAGAGGGGAAGGAAGTGTTTAAACTGAATTGAAAGCATGTACATTTTACAAAAACAAATTCCAAACAAATCATAGATATTCCTCACAGCTTAAATAAACCTGTTTGTTTATTTATTTAAGTCATATACAAACCACCAACTTCTCTGCAGTTAAACAAAGAATCTTACATGTTTTTGCTGAGATCGTTCAGGGAGCTTATCAGCTTGTTGTTTAATAAGTTCTTGTTCATCTCGGGATTCCTCATAAACAGGCAGCTGGCAGCCTGGCAGGCCATGGCAAGAGTATCATCAGATTCATTCCCTCCCGTGGTGCCATTGCTGAGGATAACCAGCAGCTCTGGAAGCCCTTTACGACCTTTAATGATAAGATAAACAAAATCCCCTCACTGTTTAACACAAACTAACTTTTGTAAAGCTGCAAAGAATTTTTCAGGATGATAAATTTCACAGTAAAGACTATTCTATTGTTTTAGGATGATAAAATTAAGAGTAAAATGCCTTTTGTTTAGATTTAAAATAAAGTACAAAATAAAGGCAAATACAAAGATTTTGAATTAAAACCAATTCTTACTGATGGCACTGTGCAGGACAGGGTTCTTTGTCAAGTTGGCTATTAAATCCACTGTGCTCCTCTGCAGGTTGACTTTTTTTGAATTCAAGAGGGGACTGATAACCTGAAGCCCATTCAGTTTCTGTACAATAGTTTGACCAATTGCCCTGGAGACCTGTGAATACAAGAGCCCATATCAGCCTCTGAACTCAGCAAATGACATGACAGCTGTAGATGCAACCAAAATTAAGATTAAAAGACAAGTGAAAATTTTATCAGTGTTAGACAGCTATTTGTAACATATTTCTCCTTACGAGGCCTTCCTGTGCAGTGAGACTCTGCAATATTCCACAACAGGCTTCCCGTGTTTCTTCTCGCTGGCTAGAGCCAAGCAAAAACAGGTAACTCTCCAGGGTTTTGGAATGAAACAGCCAGCTTGCCCCAGCAGGTTGTGACTCTTCAATAACTGGGAAGTCAAAATGATACTGGACAAGAAAGAGAGCAAGATCTTTATCTATCTCTGGCCTACTAAATTGTCCTCCATAAATGAGTTGAAAAAGCATTTTTTAATCTCTAAATGCAGGTGATTGTTTTTAAGTAGTGGAGAATCACAGTGTGCATAACAATTTTTGCAGGAACATGAAGTAAATCTGGGCAATTCAGAAAAAAGTGATGGTATTGAATGCAATACGGCAGCGGTCCCCAACCCCCGGGCCTCGGACCGGTACCGGTCCGTGAGTCGTTTGGTACCGGGCGCGAGAGTTGAGGCTCAGGTGTGAAATGTATGGTTTTCAGGGTTTTTATTCGGTTTTCAGCGTTATTTTGTTATCGTTTTTATCGTTAACTCGGTTTTCCTGGGTCTTTTCACGTGTGTTATGAATAAATCTTCTTTTTTCGGTACCGGTACTAGTTTTATTTTGTTGTATTTATCCGCGACACCTTAAAGGCCGGTCCGTGAAAATATTGTCGGGCATAAACCGGTCCGTGGCGCAAAAAAGGTTGGAGACCGCTGCAATACGGTACTACACGTTGAAACCCATCCTGCGTGCTCTCCTTATTAATGTGCCTATTTGGATTTTTTTTTATACAGCACATTTTATCACAGATGATGTCAATGTACTTTAAGTTAAAGGAAAAATCATGAGTAAAAATGCAGAAAAAAAGCCATTTCATCACAGGGTCAAGTACACCACACAACAATTCATCCCTCCACCCCCAAAAATTATGTAGCAACTCTACAAAACGTTTAATACAATTTTGTTTATTGGTAAAAGATTTATTTTAGAGGTCTGTTTGGGTTATAAGCCAACCGTGAAAGAGAAAGTTAGAGATGTACCAAGGGGACACGCCTTTACGAGATTTGAAGACTATTAAAAGATTTCTCAGTCTCTGTTGTGACCATTGGATTAGTCATTTCCGTGCATGTCTAAGAACTGTGGTTTTTTGCTTTTTGAGTAAACATTTTTTTTAATAACTATTGAGATGGTGAGATGGAGATATAAACCATTTTCTAAGCATCAGTTTCAGATACACTGAAAAAAACATTGATTTTAAGTAATTTTTCAACTTTACATGTAATTTTGTTGCATGAGTAAAATGTAAAACAATACATTTAATAGAATCTGGTCAAATTAAATTAACTTGATCGGTATGCTAAGTGTATTCCTCTTATTGATTAATTATTTGAATAAATAAACCTTTGCGTTTAGTTCTATTCAGGATAAAAAATTTATGTTCTTTAAGTGCTAATATGCTTTTCAGGTGATGTGACTTTAAAAACTGACATACAAACCCAAACTAATTTTGAAGATTCTGTCTCTTAGTTTATTTTGTTTTTTTGTTTTTTTTACAAGAACATGTCAGTTTTGTTTTGAATCAGCTCTAAAGGTTTTATCAAATGAGCAACAGACTGAAGTATAAGGTTACAATTATCACAGACATTTAGGAGCCAGATTGGAAAGTTTCCCACTGTCACTGTCAATTTCAAACACTGGAATTATTAATGACTTCTATAATGTTGGCGCAAGTGATAAATCATTTGTCACCCTTCCAGCAGAGGGGAAAGGTAGGAACAACAGGTTCTGTCTAGACTGACAGGTACTTGTAAGCACTTTTTAAACTACTTCTGATAGTTCAAAAGTACTACTTAGGACTTTATCCATTCTAATATGTGCATTTGTCTTTCTCACCTCACGTTCTAGTGATTTGCTCCGAGTGCTGAAACAACCGATGGGACTGATATTGTCCTGGCTGTTGCTCCTGTATATGTTTTTACCCAAAGCATTGATCCTGATGAACAGCTCAGGAGCCTCGGCCTCCAGCTGGAATGTCAGATTGTGCAGGATGCACACACAGTTTTCGGCTGACTGATTTCAACAGGGGAAAACATAGAGACGATAACAGTCATACACATGTGCAATGTAAACTAATAAAAAAGATGAATTCAAATGAATTTTTATTGACATAGCACCTAATCAAAACATTTGCGTCAAGGCGCTTTATACTGTAACCCTACAATAATAAACATAGAATAATGGAGACAGATTTTCAATAATTATAATAATTACATCATGAGTTATTATGGAAAATTACTGTAAAATGACAGATGGTTCTTTAAGATCATTTGATTACATAACAAAACAAAACAAAGCACTTTTTGAGAACGTTCTAGGTTCTAAAAAACATATGTACAAGCTGAACACAGCAGTTACCCTGCTTTCTCTATAGAATGTTATGCAAATCTTACATATACAATGCTTTTCACACAGTTTACCTCATCATCTTCTTTTCCTGTTTGCACACACTCTTTGATATAAGCGACCAAACAGTCGATCAGACTCCGACATTTTCTCATTGTCTGTCTGTAGCTTTGCTTAGAACTGCTGAGGTTTCTGTTGAAATTAAAACACAAGACACATGCTAATTAGACACCCCAGAGTAAGAAATACTGTTGGCAAACCCATCTACTTTTTAATATTGGTAAAAATGTGAAAGTACAAGCAAAGTATATAAATACTTTACTCAGTCATTGTATGTACTCCACTGTGTTTATCTGTCAGACTAAAGCAGGCCTCAGAAAA